CGGTTCAGGCCTGCATGGCGAAATAGAGGAGAAAATGGCTAGCGTTACGTAACGCAGCGAGGCTGTCGGAGGTAATCGGGCAAAGTAGAACGTAGCAATGAAGCGCACGAGAACGCTTTTGAATGACTCTTGCTAGCAATTATTTCGTAGTTGCAGCTTTGGCTAGATTTGAAATGCACGCTTTAAGCGGAACGGCGATGCGTGTGTTTTCGGTGGTGATGCGCAGACCCGCGAGACAAATGGCGGAGAGCACTCAGGAGATGGCCTGTGGCTGGAATTTGTCCATGGAAACTGTTTTCCTAGTTGCACCTCGTAGAGTCGCGAATAACGGTCATGGGCGTCGATCGTTTCGTTACTCCGACTACCGTCGTAAATATCACGGCTACCGCGGTCCAGAGCACGAGAACTCCGGGATAAAACGATTGTTCCGCCGTGAACCGGAATAGTCCGCGGAGGATCCGGAGCGGTCGTAAAGCTGCATTTTTACAACGGCGCCGGGCACGATGGAAGACGGCGTTGATGGAAACGAGTGGGCGAGTTTCGTGCTATTCCAATCTCGTTTATAAACAATCGCGGTGGAAGAGAAACGGGAACGAGCCGCGAAGCGTGGACGCCTGTGACACGGTTACCGCGAGTGGACGAAAGTTGGTAGCGTAGGTAGAGAAGGTTCGAAGGATGGTAGCGCGCGACTCGATATTTTTCCTCATTAACCTGCATCTCTGGTGCTGTTCAGGCAAAGTGGACGAGAAAGCGACGCAACTGCACGCGATAGCGTCGCTAAAGGTGCTACTGGATGCCACCAGGCCGCACAATGGCGCTGCGACGTCGACCGCCGCCCATTACTCGGGTGCCTCGTCGAGAGAGACCACTCTGCAGCTGCAGCAGGGCTCCCAGGGCACCACTACGACCACCACTACGACGACCACCACCGCCGGCACCACCGCCGGCATCCAGGAACTTCCCAACGGCGGCATAGCCGCTGGCCTCGACGCGGGCCTCGATTCGGTAATTCTCCAATTCCACCCATCCATCCTCCTTCCCTTTTTCTTCCTTCCTCCTCCTCCAAGCCTAGCCCAAACCTAGCCCGGACCTAGCTGAAACCTAGTCCATACATAACCCAAACTCAAGCCAGGCACGGCTTTATATATTCGCAGAAAGTCCACGGTTGCAATTGGGATCGTAAATTCTTGCGTCCGGATATCGACAGTCGGAGAGACAAAGCAGGGTGGTAGTTAACCGAGGCAACCGATAGCTCGTCTCTTCGAACTCGCAATCGACCATGCTAACTGCTCGCAGGGACTGGTTGGTCCAACGACGGGAACAATGGCCGCGCGACAGCCCGAAAACGTTAATTCGCTCGTGTCCTTCGCGATCCCATTTCCGAGACGGGCGGGAAGTCGAGGCACAGGGGTCGGGCGACGTTAACGCGACGGGGACAGCTGAAGAATTCGCGCACCCTTTTCCGGCAACGATCCTCGTGGATCGTAATTTCAATTCGTTTCCTGTCGCGAAGCCCGCTCGCCTGCGAAATTCCCTCCTTTTCTCATCTATGCTGTCCCCGACGGGCCGTTTCTCGAATAACTGCAGTCGCTGTCCGAGATCGACGAACAGGCCAATTATCGTGCATCGATCGTGTCGAAACGGAGCGAAACGAAACGAAACGAAACAAAACGGAACGAAACGGAACGGTCAGTGAATCCACGGACCCCGTTCGACTCGTCCTGGTTACACGACTTCTCGCCATTGTTTCTTGTTTTCCCGCGTCGCCGCAGGAGAGGAGGCTTCGAGGAAGCCTCCGGCACATCGATCCGCCACCGCGGAAAATTTTATTACATTTCACGCGCGATCACCGTTCCTCGAACGAGGAATTACGGTCAACCGTCGTCTGTTCGCGCGTACTTTGCGATGCAAACGTTTCTCGTCGGTCGGTGATGCTATCCCGAAAACTCTGCCGGGTATTATATCTAAGTGATGTCTTCGATATCGTCGAAATCGCGATTGAAAAGGGAATATTTTAAAATAGGTTGTTATACGGAATTTCGGTGACACCCGGTATGTCTTCGCTCCCACGCCGCGATTCTCCTGTCCTATCTCTAAATTTCGTTCCCCCGGACACGGACACGGACGGATGCTCGATAGTCGGGATAGACGCGACGACCCGATAAGAAAAATGGACCAACTGCTTATTTTCCGACTGGTCGACCTCTGACAAACGACCCGCGTCATCTTCCTCCTGACGCGGCTATCCGGAGACGCCGTAACGAAGACATTTATAGGAAGAGGAACAGCCTGACAATGGCCGACCGTCGGGGAATTGGGTCGTTTGGTATAGCGAAAGGATATATCGGGCTGAAAACAAAGCAATCGCGAAGAGTGGCTTTTTCCTCGACTAAGACTTTCGTTTTCCAGCGATTCGCCGCGAAAGTTGGCGCGTCCTCGTCGAGCGGCTTTCAACCCGACGTGTCCTTCGGCACCGATCCTCCGCGTTTCGTCCTCGTGGACGAAAGAGCGACGTTTGGGACGAAACGCGTGCCTCGCGGTTTCACGGTCAGCCGTTTGACTGGATCGTCGAAGAGGGCGGAGGATCGAAGCGCGAACCGATTGCCGACGACTGAGAAATTAGCGGCGCAAGCTTTTCCCCGATATTAGCTGGCGCTTGGGCGGGGACGAGCGCGCGGATCGCGGGGATTCTCGAACCTCTTTGTCCTAAATGAGTGAGAAGGCCTTTTCATTTTGAATGCACCGCGAATCTGGGTCAATTCTGGCTACACCCGGCGTCGCTGCGCTACACATTGCCTATTTCGGTCCCTCTTTCACCCTCGGATAATCGAAACAAAGTCACCAGGCAATGGCTTTTCCGCCCGAGTTCCGCCTTTCCTCTTCAGCCTTTCGGCCTTCAAGGTCGCTCATCCTGCCGCCATTTGTCCCTTCCGTCTTTATCTACCCCATCTCCGACCTAGACCGTTCGATGGCGGCGCTTCCGGCAGTGGAACAGCCGATTTCTGGTCGGACGCGAACCGCGCCGCTCCAACGCTCGCCAGCGGCCTGCCAGACGGTGAAATTATCCGCGTACTCTGCGAGAATTACTCGTCGCCGTTGCCGCAATTATCCCTGGCGAAACGATCGCAGCCGGAAAATCCAAACATCTGCGAGGCCATTGTGTCGCGGTTAGCCGAGGATGGATATAAGGGCTCTGCTTTGTGCCTTTGCACAGCCGCCCGCGGTATTTAGAAGCCCGTCATCCCTCTCCACCGCGAGCTTTGTCGTATTTCCCGACGATAAGCGCCGGCTAAGTGTATCGCGGATGGGGAAACTCGGTTCCCCTCTTAATTCCATTCGACCGGATTAAGCGGCCGTGTTAATCGCAGTGCGAGCCAAGCGAGACATGTCCCGTCTGCGCCGTTGGACCACTGTTACCAAGCATTGCTCGTCGTTTCAGGGAGAGGAGGATGAACCTCCGGAAGCCTTGGACATGGGCTGGCCCAGCAGTCCCAGGAAGAGGCTAACTTACATTCTGGTTGCGCCCGTTCTCTTCCCTCTCTGGCTCACCTTGCCCGACACAAGGACACCTAGAGGTAAGTCGTCACCCTGTCCATTAACCTACTGTACTTCGAGACTTCGTTTCGACTCCATTTTTGCAAGTGGAACGCGTTTTGTCCGAAACGAACAAAGGATGGAAATTACCCAACGTGCATCCGTTCGAAAGCCTGTAAATTTCCAGTTTTCGCTCGCATACAGGGATATCAAACGCATCGCGCGTTCTACTTGGAGTCCTCTCTAGCATCGGCTCGAATTTATATTTTATGGTCGAATCAACGCGTGTCCGAACGAGTTGCCAGCCTCCGATTTTCCTCAGCTTTCGCTAGTCGATCCTGCCACGATGTTCTCTATAAACGCGTTTTCCTCGAGTTTAATTAACTTCGTATTTCGTTTGGAGCTTGCCAGTTGGTTCCGTAAGAGTTCGAAAGATGATTAGCCAATTGGGGAAAATTACGAGTAGATTCGTGGAAGGTTAGCGCAGAGGTAATTCGACGAACGATCGTTGCTCGTCATTTTCGTCTCGTCTTTCCCTGCGATTCTCGACGTCGACAATGAAATTTTCCGAGAATAACGAAGGAAACTCTGTTCGCTAATTAGCGACGGGACGAATAGTCGAAGCCGGATATTTCCGTCTGTGCTGTGCAATATTTAACGCGATCGTCGGATCGTTCCTACGAGTCAGGAATATCCGCTTATTTTCGGGCAAGTCTATTCTCCACTTTTCCCGTTTAATCGCCGATTTATATCCGACATTCGATCGGATTTTCCTGCGAACCTCTCTCTCTCTCCACTACGTCGGATATCCCATGCTGTCCGTCACGGAGAGGACAAATTTACTTTCATCGTCGCTTTCTACGGGAGAGCTAAAAACGTCGATTTCCCTGATTTTCCCCGGTCGCTGCGCGTCGATCGACATTTGGCTTTCGTCGAATTTCCACTGCAGGGTGGTTCAATGTCGCGGGTGAGTCTCGAATGGCATCGAGATCGAACGAGCCGATTAAACGGGCCTCTAAGATGGACGGCAAACGGCACGCGCGTCTGTTATTCAAAACCGTTTCCCGGGCCGCCATCAATCACGGACGTGCTGCATTATCACGGCCTATTAACGGCCTGTATTTCAACGCGACACAATGCCAGCGACGAAAGATGATATTGACACGCTAATTTCGAATCGACGACTGATTGTTACCTCGCGCTGGCATTCAGCCTCTCGCGGCGAGCAGTAGCTTTTCATTGTTACACAAAATTGCCATGCGACCTCTCCGTTTCAATTTATGCCCCCCGCATCGGCAAACATTCCTTTCTCGGTACCCGGCTGCAAACCGGTATCGATAAATCGTATTTTCGAAATCGGCGCGAGTTTACGCCGATTTCTCGAATCTACCGAGTCTTTCTTTCATTTCTTGCATCACAATCAGGGGTCTTTCGATTAAAATCGGAGGCTGAAAATGAAATTAATTAGGGTTTCGAGGAATATTTTATCAGGGGGTACCAGGTGATATTTATTCACAGGATATGACAGGATTTGTTTAATTTGGTACGCGTGTCGTACATGTAAGTTTTATCACAATCAGGGGTCTTTCCATTGAAATCGGAGGCTGGAAATAGGTAGATAAGTAAGTAAAATTAATTAGGGTTTCGAGAAATATTTTTTCAGGGGGTGCCAGGTGATACTTATTCACAGAATATGGCATTCCAAATCGATCGACTCCTTTATACTGATTTCTCGAAACAACCGAGTCTTCTTTTAACTCCTTGCATCACAATCAGGGGTCTTTCGATTAAAATCGGAGGCTGAAAATGAAATTAATTAGGGTTTCGAGGAATATTTTATCAGAGGGTACCAGGTGATATTTATTCACAGGATATGACAGGATTTGTTTAATTTGGTACGTGTGTCGTACATGTAAGTTTTATCACAATCAGGGGTCTTTCCATTGAAATCGGAGGCTGGAAATAGGTAGATAAGTAAGTAAAATTAATTAGGGTTTCGAGGAATATTTTTTGAGGGCGTCCAAAGACATGACAAGATTTGTTTAATTTGGTATGCGTGTCGTGTATGTAAGTTTTATCACAATCTCAGGTCTTTTAATTAAAATCGGAGACTTGAAATAGGTAAATAAAGGTTGAATGTGGCGAAATTAATTATAATTTCGTGGAATATTTTTTGAGGGGGTGTCAGATGATACTTATTCACAGGATATGATAAAATTTGTTTAATTTGGTATCGTTCATGTAAGTATTATCACAATCACGAGTCTTTCAATCAAAATCGGAGACTTGAAATAGGTAAATAAGGATCGAATGCGACGATATTAATTAGGGTTTCGAGGAATATCTCTTTTGTCTTGACTGCCAGGATAATAATTGTTCACAGAATATGACAAAATTTGTTTAATTCGGTACGCGTATCATATATGTAAATCTTCAAATTATTTTTATATTTCGTAAAAGTTTTGGAATCAAAGAATTCAGCCTAATTTGGGGATCTTATCGCCTAACGCTCGATAAATTCCGAGTACGAGGTAAGAACCGCATTAATTACTTCGATGATACTTCCCTTAATTACCAAAACTTGAAAAAGAATTTTTTATTTAAATAGCCCCCTCAGCCTTTTTAAATCTTTTCCGATTGCACTTTAATTTCGATTTCATCGCACGAAACTCCTAAAAATTCTAAAAAATACCGCACTTCGAGCGACATTAACCGAAATTAAATACCCCCTCTATTTTTCATAAATAAATCACAGCGCGATTGATTAATCGTCTCCCACTCGCACGCACAGCTCGAGATTAACGTTCCCTTAAAACGATCCGCGCCATTTTCGTCGGTTCCTTCTCCAAGCATTTGCCACCGATCCTCGTCAGATATGACCGATGATTAATCGGAGCCCAACGTCAGGATAATAATTAAGTCCCTTTCGCAACCTCTCCGTGGAGGATATCTCGTTCGATCAGCAACTGGTTAAAGCCGAACGCACGGAACGTTTCCGCCATATTTTTCCAACTTGCCGAATTATTCTCAAAACTATAGCAAAACACACGAAAGAAAAATCCGATCCTCGGAAAGGATAACAAAATTGACCCCTTGCGTTAGCATAAATTTAACCGAAGAATTCGAAGAATTATTCGAAGAGTCACTCGAGATTTCAGAATTTATGCGAATTTTATTTACGTTGAGACATATGGAGTACAATCTTCGTATCAAAATTGACACAAACAAAGAGATCAGCTCATCTTTGTACCATCTTACACACGTAGGAGGTGTGATTCGGGGGACCAAAGGGACTCGGGTTAAAATTAACCCTTTACGGGGGACGGAAAAGATGGCCGTGGTCACACATTCGTGGTACGAGGAAGTTTTCCACAAGAGTGGTTGCACTGGAAGCCACGAAAACGTGTTTTGCGGTATTCATAGATTGACACTAAACTTTTCATTCGGATCGCGACAGTCATCGGTGACGTTTCGTAGATGCTGTCAATAGGCGATGGTAATACCCATAGAACGTTTCATGATCGCTGCCAATGGGCAACAACAGTACCGAAAGGGTTAAAGAAAGCTTAAGTCTTAGAAGCTTTATTCTTCACACATCGATCTCCTATTTTGTCGAGAGTCTTCTAGAACTGAGCTCAACGATTCTACACGCGTGGAATCCTTCCTTTGTCGATTCTTCTCGTCTCATAACGATCGAGAGTCATCGCAAGCACAAAGCTACCGCCATCTATTCTGTTAGCGATTTCCTTAGACGCGAGAACTATAGTAATTATAGCTCAAGGGGTTAATACTATGGGGGTGCCCCTACGCGGTAGTTGAAGTCGGTCTAGTCGCAGGTATAAAGGAAGGGATGCGTTTCTTCCTGTGGCCTGCTAGTAGACTCATCGGCAAGCCTACCCTAGCAAACCCTGCCCCCTTTTTTCCTTTTTCTTTAACATACGTTTAATGCGCCAGTAAATTCCGACAATATTGTTACGAGATCATATCCACCTGGTCAAGAAGAGTGAATCGTAACTTCAGTGCAGAACAATCCAGCACTTTCCAGAATGTTCGGTTTAAATAACAATCGACTATCGACTATAAAAGGAACGTCTTCCATCGAGCTTCAGAGAGTACTGTCAACCTTTTCATTAAGGCAAATCTATTCTGACAAAATTCTTCTAACGTCTTCCATCGAGCTTCAGAGAGTACTGTCAACCTTTTCATTAAGGCAAATCTATTCTGACGTTTAGAATTCTTTGGCAAGCCAGCGATCGAACTTCAAGAATAAGAGTTACACTCGCGAATTGTAACAATATATACAATAGAAACAATCCGAAACGTATAACGATTGATTTTAACGACACGGATATTACAATGTGATCGATGACTCCTGAGTCGAGTGCTCGCAATCTCAACTCTAGATGCTTAAATTCTACTGCGCTCATCGCTTTTTGATAATTATTAAATTGAAGTTCAATCTTAAAGTAAGAGAATATCGCGTTTAGTATACGAAAGGCAGGGAAATTATATCTGTGTGCGTGTAGTGCTTTTTCGTTTTGAATAGGGTGGTGATTGAGGGGTGTGTGTTGGGCTGACAGGTTGGGCTTCTTTTTTACAATTTAACGTACGTTTAATGCGCCAAAAACTAGATAAAATAATACACATATAGAAGAACCAAAAGGTACGAAGGGTTACAAATGAAAATTTAGACTATGAGATCGATGGCTCCAGCGTGAAGCACTCGCGATCTAGAATCGAACTTAATTTATGGCGTTTATCGCTATGGGGTAATATAAACTTAAGACTATCTTATATTAGTACGCGGGTTTGCCTGTGTATAGAAAAGGCACGGAAACTATACAGTTTTCGGTTTTAATTGGATAAATAAATATAGATAAATAAAATAAATAATTAAATAAATAGGAGGAAAGGGAGATGAGGGAAGAGAAGATAGATGGGGTATACATGTTTCTTTATTTATTTCCAAATTGTATTATACATTACTAGTAATTATGAGGAATCTTGGGCTGCCAGGCCCTGTCTTAGACAAGGGATACTATTGGAAGATCTGCAACTTATGTGTATAGGAAATGGAGGTTTTCCGAGGACTTTCTCGCAAGTCCTCGAACCTCCTGAAGTCGGAATCCATCTATGGCGAAAGTGAGATTAATAGTCGCTCTAATACCAATAAGAAAGAAACCCTCGTTTATGGCAATTCTTATCCATCGAGTACCATCGCGAAGATTCGACGCGAAGTCTCGATTTTCGATATTAGACGTGGTAGGATCGATTCTCGATTCTGCAAGGTCTCGCCAGTGCTGCAGGAAATTCCGAACCCGATCCTGACGAAGGGGATGAAAAATAGGGAGAACACGGAAGAGAAGAGGAAAGCTGGAGGGTGGAGGGGAGGAGATTCGATTTAAAACAGATACAGATCCTTTGAACCCGATACGAAGGGAGAGAGGAGGGTGTTTCGGTGGTTGGAACGGTGTGTTTGTTGCAGGGAAGAAGTTCTTCGCGGTGACGTTCATCGGCTCGATCTTCTGGATCGCGGCGTACTCGTACCTGATGGTCTGGTGGGCGAACGTGTTCGGCGACACGGTGCGTATCCCGCCGGAAGTGATGGGCCTGACGTTCCTCGCCGCCGGCACCAGCATCCCGGACCTCATCACCAGCGTGATCGTCGCGCGAAAGGGATTCGGCGACATGGCCGTCTCGAGCTCCGTTGGCAGCAACATCTTCGACGTGACCGTTGGGTGAGCACTGTATTCCCCATTTGCGTTTAGTCTCGGTACTCCATGGAAGACTGGGTGGTCCAAGGAAGATCGAGCGATCTCGAGAATTTTCAATGACGGTAAGAGGAGAAATGTAGTCCCGAAATACGAGATGAGGATGAGATAATTGTACGATATAGATCGTGCATAGATTTATACGGTTGCGGTATCGAGGACGTCGTTTATGGCAATTCTTTTTGTCGTTAACCACTTACGTGTTTAATTATAAAATAAAATCGTTCGCGACATCTCCTTTCAGACGCCGAGGTACCTTTCATCCGGTTACCAAATTCTAGATAATTTATCGATATTTGTTTTCCTCGAGATTCGATGTAGATCGTGCATAGATTCATACGGTACGATTATCGAGGATGTCGTTTATGGCAATTCTTGCCGTCGTTAACTCCTTACCTGTTTAATTACCTTTTGCAAAAATACCATTCTTTACGTCTCCTACAAACGTTTCAGAGCATCCCATCGGTTTACCAAATTCTAGATCATTTATAGATACTTGTTTTCCTCGAGATCCTATGTAGATTGTGCATAGACTCATACGATACGAATATCGAGGACATCGTTTATGGCAATTCTTGTTGCCATTAACTCCTTGCCTGTCTAATTACCTTTCACAAAAATTCTGTTCCCTACGTCTCTTACAAACGTCTTGGTACATCTCATCCACTTACTAAATCCTAGATAATTTAACGATACTTGCTTCCCTCGAAGTCAGATGAAGATCATACATAGATTCATACGATTAGATTTGTCGAGGACGTCGCTTATGGCAATTCTTGCTGTCATTAACCCCTTGCCTGTCTAATTACCTTTTGCAAAAATCACATTCTTTACGTCTCCTACAAACGTTTCAGAGCATCCCATCGGTTTACCAAATTCTAGATCATTTATAGATACTTGTTTTCCTCGAGATCCTATGTAGATTGTGCATAGACTCATACGATACGAATATCGAGGACATCGTTTATGGCAATTCTTGTTACCATTAACTCCTTGCCTGTCTAATTACCTTTTGCAAAAATCACATTCTTTACGTCTCCTACAGACGTTTCGATGCGTCTCATCAGATCATTGAATCCTAGATAATTTATCAGTATTTGTTTTCCTTGAGATCCAATATAAATCGTGCATAGATTCATACGGTACAATTATCGAGGACATCGCTTATGGTAATTCTTGTTGCCATTAACTCCTTGCCTGTCTAATTACCTTTCGCAAAAATTCTGTTCCCTACGTCTCTTACAAACGTCTTGGTACATCTCATCTACTTCCTGAATCCTAGATAATTTAACGATACTTGCTTTCCTCGAGATCCGATGTAGATCGTGCATAATTCATGCAGCTCTATTGTCGAGAACCTCGCTTATGGCAATTCTTATCGTCTCCTACAGACGTCTTGATACGATCCATTCGATTACCGAATCCTAGATAATTTATCGATACTTGTTTTCCTCGAAGTCAGATGAAGATCGTGCAATTCGATTGTGGACGACGATGTTTATGACAATTCTTGCCGCCATTAACCCCTTGCCTGTCTAATTAACTTTCGTAAAAATTCTGTTCTGTATGTCTCCTACAGATATCTCGATACATCTCATCTCATTCACTTACCGAATCCTAGATAATTTATTCATACTTGCTTTCCCTGAGGTGCGATGTACTGTAGATCGTGCATAGATTAATACAGCTCGGTTATCAGGACGTCGTTTATGGCAATTCTTACTGTCATTAACACTAGACTACCAACCCAGTGAAAATGACTGGTCCTAGAATTTTCCTTTTTGCAGTCGCCGAACACATACACCTGCTTTAAGAATAAAATTGGTATCAACTCGTATTAAGAAAGAACTGTAATCAATATATTCACTCATATTCATCGTACCGCTGAAATTACTATAATCTGTGCACGTTATAGTTAGGTACCCATTAAAGATCGGTAGTTCTAGTGTTAACCCCTTGCCTGTCTGATTACCTTTCGCAAAAATTCTGTTCCCTACATCTTGAACAGACATCTCGGAATCGTGGATAATTTATCGATATTTGTTCTCCTCGGGGTCCTATGTAGATTTTGCCCAGATTCATGCGACTAAGTTATCGAGGACGTCGTTTATGGCAATTCTTACCGTCGTTAACACTAGACTACCAACCCAGTGAAAATGACTGGTCCTAGAATTTTCCTTTTTGCAGTCGCCGAACACATACACCTGCTTTAAGAATAAAATTGGTATCAACTCGTATTAAGAAAGAACCGTAATCAATATATTCACTCATATTCATCGTACCGCTGAAATTACTATAATCTGTGCACGTTATAGTTAGGTACCCATTAAAGATCGGTAGTTCTAGTGTTAACCCCTTGCCTGTCTGATTACCTTTCGCAAAAATTCTGTTCCCTACATCTTGAACAGACATCTCGGAATCGTGGATAATTTATCGATATTTGTTCTCCTCGGGGTCTTATGTAGATTTTACCCAGATTCATACGACTAAGTTATCGAGGACGTCGTTTCTGGCAATTCTTGCCGGCGTTAACCCTCTGCCTGTCTGATTCGCTGTGTGTCGCGCAGTCTCTCGGAATCGTTAACCCCTTGCCTGCCTAATTACCTTTCGCAGTAATTAATCGTTCGACATTCTATCGGCTCGTGGAAATGTTTGGCTTCTCAGAATCGTTAACCACTTATCTGTCTATTTACCTCTCGCGAGAATTCATCCTACCCTCCGATACGTTTTATCGGCTCAACGAAACCTGCAACGGGAAACCTATCATGCCCTAAATGACTTAATTTTGTAAAACTTCCACGTTCAACGTTATCCTCTTAGTCACTCGTCTGCCCGATTTTTCTCGCGATATAGACATCATCGATCTTTCAATATCCCCAATTGTTCCATTTTTCTTAACCCCTTCTCGCCTACGTCATCGTGGGAGAGACTCGTGGCAAGGAAATCGGGCCAAGCACGAGTTTATTCGATTGGCAAAATTTGTCAAATTCGTAGAAAATTGTATTAAAATTCACTTTTCACGCGGGCTTTATATATCACTCTTTTTCTCGATATTTAATAAATTGTCTTGAATCTTAGTCCTCGAGGTTTCTTCCACGAATCCTGGAATCTCTGACTGAACTCTCCAACTGTGCTTATATGGCACGTACTCGTCCCTCTTTGGTCCACGAGGCTCTTATTGCTCAAACTTGGCTGACGTCACCCTTCACAGATATCGAAGACGCGAACTAAGGCTGATGATGACCTCACACCTGATAATTGCTCGAATGGTCGACACGTTTGGCAAACACGTCTCAAACTTTCCCAAGCTTCCACGGTGAAATGATCGCCGCTTATATACACTGTCGAGCATAAGTATCTCGACACTTGTTATCTCAATGAAATTACGCTATTACTACGACCCTCTGTTACAAACTTGTCTTCCTACTTCAGTAATATCTTCAGAATACCAGAAAATATTAATTAAACGACGGGAGATCCTAGAAACATGGTAAAAATGGAGGATTCGAAATTTGGGAAACAGATTTAAAAATACTTACGAGACGCAGATTCTCAGGCATCTCGGAGCAATAAAAACTGTTCAAAAATAAATAAATAAAATTTTTCGTGACGTAACATACGTCATCAACGTTTGGTTAACTTACAAATCGGTAATTCTCTAGTCGTAGACACTCGTCTATCCAAGAAATACCCCCAGAGTTATTATATTTGCTAGGCACTAAGGGACGCAGATTTCCAGGCATCTTAGAGCAACGAAAACAGTGCAAAAATAAATAAATAAAATTTTTCGTGACATAACATACTTCATCAACGTTTGGTTAACTCACAAACCTTCTAATCGATCATTCTCCAGTCGTAGACACTCGTCTATTCAAAAAATAGCCTCGGAATTATTATATTCACTAGACTATAAAGGACGCTGATTTTCAGGTATCTTAGAGCACTAAAAACTGTTCAAAAATAAATAAATAAAATTTTTCGTGACGTAACATACGTCATCAACGTTTGGTTAACTTACAAATCGGTAATTCTCTAGTCGTAGACACTCGTCTATCCAAGAAATACCCCCAGAGTTATTATATTTGCTAGGCACTAAGGGACGCAGATTTCCAGGCATCTTAGAGCAACGAAAACAGTGCAAAAATAAATAAATAAAATTTTTCGTGACATAACATACGTCATCAACGTCTGGTTAACTCACAAACCTTCTAATCGATCATTCTCCAGTCGTAGACACTCGTCTATTCGAAAAATAGCCTCGGAATTATTATATTCGCTAGACAATAAAGGACGCTGATTTTCAGGTATCTCAGAGCAATGAAAGCTATGCAAAAATAAATAAATAAAATTTTTCGTGACATAACATACTTCATCAACGTTTGGTTAACTCACAAACCTTCTAATCGATCATTCTCCAGTCATAGACACTCGTCTATTCGAAAAATAGCCTCGGAATTATTATATTCGCTAGACTATAAAGGACGCTGATTTTCAGGTATCTCAGAGCAATGGAAGCTATGCAAAAATAAATAAATAAAATTTTTCGTGACATAACATACATCTTCAGCATTTAGTTAACTCACAGTCCTTCTGATCGGTCATTCTCTAGCTGTAAACCTTCATCTGACCGATTTTCAGATCCCGATTTCCATCTCGGACCAACGAAATGCGGAAATAAAGAATGGAACTTTTGCAGACGTATCACACGTCGTCTACTCTTCGCAGTGTTCGCCCTGAGCGAATATGTAACGACATAATTAAATTACAAACGTTATAATCGTATCACGACAGCAGTGCAGCTAGTCACTCGTCTATCCTAATTCGCGCGATATGCAACCACGTCAGGTTCGTTCTCAGTCACGCATGATATACGAGACAGGCAAAGGGTTAATATTCCGCGAGAAAGATCCCCGATCGACGTTTGTATCGACGTTTCATCCCTCGTTTTCGAATATCCCCACGAATAT